GCGTTTGTCACATTAATCCAATTTCTATGTTTCTATATATATATATATATATATAGATATATATATATATATATATATATATAACATGTATACACACATATTTGTCCCACGATCTGCCACATATGTACACACACATACACATTGCTTTCTAGTATATGTGAATGAGGAAGGGAAGTCATTTCTTTAGCGCCAAAAAGAAAAAAAAAAAGTCACACACAAACACACATTGCTATTGATAAATTCAAGTGATATGTGATTCTTGGTCAGGGATTTCTTGGTCTCAGTGGGGCAATACTCGTTCAAGTCTATGACACACTATGCAAAGGCAAGCCAAGCACTTTCCTTCTTGTGCTTGCCCTTTTGCCGACATTGGTCTCCCTCTTGCTCATGCCATTGGTGAGAGTCCATGAATCAAACACAGGAAATGACAAGAACCACCTGAATTCTTTCTCTGCTGTTGCTCTGATCATTGTCGCTTGTCTCATGCTAATGATAATCATGGAAAACATCATAACCTTCTCGACATGGGGACGCTATTCTACTCTTGTACTTCTTCTGCTTCTGTTGGCCTCTCCCCTCGGGATTGCAATCAAAGCAGAGAGTGAAGACTCGATAAAACAAACCGAAGAAACATCCTCAATTGAGAGCAATCCATTACTGGACAACTCTTGCCGAACAACATCCTCCAAGATTATTTCAGCCGAAGAAAATCCATTAGACTATGAAGAACTGCCAACTTCCGCCAACAGTGAAGTGAAGGTCACTTCAGATTACAATATTTTGCCTTTTGAAGAAGAGGACATGAATCTCTTGCAAGCAATGCGTACTGTCAACTTCTGGTTGTTGTTTCTAGCTATGGTTTGTGGAATGGGCTCCGGTCTCGCCACCATAAACAACATGAGCCAATTGGGACAGTCTCTCGGCTACACATCACTAGAGATAACTTCTTTTGTTTCCCTTTGGAGTATATGGAATTTTCTAGGTCGTTTTGGAGCCGGGTATTTGTCAGATTATTTCCTGCACACCAGAGGATGGGCAAGGCCATTGTTGATTGCAGTTACTCTAGCAACCATGACTACTGGCCACATCATCATCGCCTCCGGTTTTTCAGGAAATCTGTATGTGGGTTCAATCTTGGTTGGCATTTGTTATGGCTCACAATGGTCACTAATGCCCACAATCACTTCGGAAATATTTGGTGTAAGACACATGGGTACTATTTTCAACACCATTGCCATAGCCAGTCCCGTTGGTTCTTACATATTTTCCGTAAGAGTAATCGGGTATATTTACGACAAAGAAGCTTCCGGATACACCTGCTTTGGCACTCGCTGCTTCATGTTATCCTTTTTCGTCATGGCCGCCGTCGCTTGTTTCGGGTGTCTAGTTGGTACCGCCTTGTTCTTTCGAACCAGGAGGTTCTATCAGTTGGTTGTGCTTAGAAAATTGCAGTATTCTTCAAGACAAGGAGGATAGATTGCGATGAATATTGGAGCTTCGTGTCGTGTGTAAAAGTGAAAAGTAACAGCAGAGGCAGTAATATAATATTGTAGATGGTCAAGGAGGAGAAATGTTGATATTGATCATCGTTTTGAGCATGCAGTTGGCGTCTGTGGACTTCTAGTTTATACATGTAAGTCTCTTTTTTATCTCACCAAAAGGAAAAGAGGATTTTCTTAAAATGTATTTGTCAAAGGAGATATATATTAGAGTCGTTGCTGCGTATGTAAAAATGAAAATTTTTTACTTCTAGTTATGTTGGCTAGTATCGGAATGTTTGTCCACAATCTAAATTTGTTTGTAACATGCACAATAAACTAGCAGCAATAGTTTTTATCAGTGTGGCTAGTTTTCCTATATTCAAGCATGTAAATCATTCTATATCATCCAATCCCACATGTAAATCATTCTATATCTTCCATATATCTCTGAGATTCAATCCCATATTGGATGCCATTGTTGACATTAAATTTCCTCTGTAGTAGCATAACACACTAGTTTTCATGTATGTAATGTTTTCTTAAAAAGTTTAACATTACAGTTACCAAATAGATTTACTTGAATTAACACTTGTCTGCACGGAAGTAATGGTATCAGCAAACATTTTGAAAGGCTTGATAATTGATAGTGATAACTACCCTAGTGTGGCATCTCTTTTTTTTTTTTCTTTTTTTTTTTTTTTTTGGTTTTTGACACGATATTAGGTATATAAAATTGCTTTTAGTAAGACAATTCAAAGAGTGATTAGCACAATAGAAATAAATACATTTTACACTATTTTAGAGAAGTAATCTACAAGTAGTGAAATCATTTTTGGCAGCAACTTCTTCTCTCCTTTTGCTTAAAAAAAAAAAAGGAACTTCCAAAAGCCTAACAATTCCAAGACAAGTGCTTATATGTTGATCCTTAGTGGTCACCATTATTTGTTGATGTGGATTGGTGAGGATTCACAAATCAGAGCACGAGTGATCAATACTTTGTTCTTGTTGCTAAACTGATATTAGTGATGTTAATTTATCATTATCTGATTCTTGACGACCTTAATTAGGCTATCATCATCAACTGTTGAGTTTTGAACTTTTGTTGGATACTTTTCACGACATCATAAATTCTTCTCCAACAACTTTGGGCATTCAGGACCTAACTTTTCACCCTCCATCAGTCCGTTCGATCAGCGTTGGTCTACAAAACAGAATATTGATTATTTCCTCCCCACTACCCATAACCCAAGGAACTGATTAACTATTGTGTGTTGTTTTTATTATTATTATTTTTATTTTTAATATTTTTATTTTTATACTTTGCATTTTGAGGTTATAAAAAGATATATCTATATTTTGAGTTGTACTAAATTTTATATCTTCACATTTTTAATTTATGTTAAATCCTTCACTTTTCAAGATCAAAGGTTGATTTTGACTATGAAATTAACCTAAATGCTCAAATTTTTGATTTTTATTTTTCTATTTTTATGTTTTTTATCTATTAAGGGTGTCTAGTCTTTTTTTGGTCAAAATTGTTCCACTGAAAAAAGTTATGAATAGAGCTTAAATTTGAAATATAAAGGTATCAATTTGATACAATCTAAAATACAATTGATAACTTGCAGAATATTAAAAAGAAAAATAATAACTTTTTAACTTTAATTAATTCCGGCGAAATACACATGCATTTTGCCATTTCAGAGTGGGACACATGAATGAAGATTTGACAACCAAGACAATCTGTTAAAAAAAGACTTAAAACCTTTTTATTATTCATTCAAAAAGTCGGAAGAATTGAATCAGGAAAATGTGCTAAGAAATGCATTTCAATGAAGAGAGACATGCACATATCAGATCTTTGAATAACAACAGTGCTACGATCACAAAATATCACTGATTCTCAAAACAAGAAGATTTCAAAACCAAGTTTCTAAAATGGAGATTCATACTCATCTGAGGCTTCTGACAAACAGCAAGTGGATGGCGACGGCGGCGAGCATTTGGATCCAGTGCGCCGTCGGACCGTCGTACACCTTCGGCATCTACTCGCCGGCGCTCAAGGCCAGCCAGGGCTACGACCAATCAACGCTCGACACGGTGTCCGTCTTCAAGGACATCGGTGCCAACGCCGGCGTCCTCTCCGGCCTCCTTTACGCCGCCGTCGCCGCCGGAGGGCGCCGCCGGGTGGGCGGGCCCTGGGTGGTTATAGCGGCGGGGGCGGTGCAGTGCTTCGTCGGATACTTTTTCATGTGGGCGGCTGTCGCCGGAGTGATTCAACGGCCGCCGGTGGCGGCCATGTGCTTGTTCATGTTCTTGGCGGCGCACGGCCAGACGTTCTTCAACACGTCCAACGTCGTCTGCGGTGTCGAGAACTTCTCCAGTTATAGTGGCACCATTGTCGGAATCTTGAAGGTATGCAATTGAATTCATATTTTTGTATGTTCATCTATTACATGAAATTACGTTTTTTTTTTTCCTCCATGACTATGAAGTACACATAAATTTTCAGATATCTTCGCATAAAGTCTCGTTCATTAATTTAAATTTTTAATTTAAATTAAAATGTAATTTTATGTAGAATCTTTTATTATAGCAAGAAAAATTAAATGTGATTTTTTTATGAAAGATTTTAATTATAATAAAATTAAAATTAAAAATTTAAATCAGTAAAATAAATGAAACCTTATATGTGTTAAACTATTATAGATCCATGATTTGATTTTAGTGGGGCACAAATAAAGATGAAAGTTTATATAAAATGAGGACTAACACTCGTTCATTCGTTTTTTTAAACGGTTAGATTTTATTATTTTAGTTTTTTTTTTAACTTAATGCGAAATGAAAATAAAGAAAAAAGAGAATACATAATGAATTTTTAGTTTTCATTTTTAACGTAATATATGTAGAATATAAGAGTGACAAATACGAAGCTGTAATTGTTAAAGAAAATAAAACAAACAAGAAAAATAAGAAAGAGAAAGAATACATAAAAAACCGTAATAAGCAATTACAAGAAACGGTGGCAATCATTATTTTACTTTGAAAATGATTAAAAAAAACCCCCTTCAAGTAGCATATGAAACGGGAGCATATAAAAGAATTAATAAGTATTCGGCAAAAAAAAAAAAAAAAAAGAGTATAAGAATAGCCCATTAAATAGGGACACCTATTGAAAAGTACAAGAAGCTTGGAAGTAAATTTTTTTTTCCCACCTTAATTGGATCCGTGGCTGTACGCCATATCATTTAGAAAATTTAAATACATTTTAACCAACTAACTTTTTATTAATCTATATGTTTCAATCATTAAATGAAGTGACATAATCTAATTTGTTAGAAATTATTTAAGACATCAAAAATTAAACAACATAATCGGTTTCTCCCATTTTCAATGGAAGTGGCTTTTTGTTTCTTGTTTCTTTTTTCTCTTTTTTTTAATTTAAAAAAAATACTTTCTAAAAGATGATTACTGAATCATTCTAAAAAAGGAAAAAAAGATCCGACCAATAAAAACAATTATTGTTAAAAAGAAAAAAGTAACTCGATTGTTGCCTGCAACACATTTATATGTTCCTAAAATCGGTTTCTCCCATATTCAATAGAAGTGGCTTTTTGTTTCTTGTTTCTTTTTTCTCTTTTTTCTTATTTAAAAAAAAATACTTTCTAAAAGATGAGAATTGAATAATTCTAAAAAAGGAAAAAAAGATCTGACCAATAAAAACAATTATTATTAAAAAGAAAAAAGTAACTTGATCGCTGCCTACAACACGTTTATATGTTCCTAAAATTAAGAATTTGATTATTCATTTTAACTTTTATAAGCTTTGTCTAGCGTTAAATTCACATCTATTTGTGTCTGGTACGTATTTCAATTATTTAGTTAAAATTGAAGGAAAAGAGGGTGGTTATGTAAAAAACCCAAGTGGTATGTATGGAAAATCCTTGCACAATACTTAAAGAAATACACAATAGCTATTGGTAAATCTATATTAGAAGTGATTAGATTCCCACATTATTTCTTATTCAGGGATTTCTTGGTCTTAGTGGGGCAATGCTAATACAAGTCTATAAGACAATATGCCAAGGCAAACCAAGCACTTTCCTTCTTATTCTTGCCATTTTGCCCGCATCGGTCTCCCTCTCGCTCATGTTATTGGTCAGAATCCATGAATCCACCACAACAAATGAAAAGAAGCATCTCAATTTTCTCTCTGCCGTTGCTTTGACCATTTCTGCTTATCTCATGACACTAATAATCTTGGACAACATCTTTACCTTGTCAATGTCAGCTCGCATATCTACTTTTGTGTTTCTTCTTCTTTTACTTGCCTCTCCTCTCGGAATTGCAATCAAAGCTGAAAGTGAAAACATGATTAAAAAGACCCCAGAAACACTTTCGATTGAGATTCATAATCCGTTACTGGTAACTGAAGGTGATCATAAAGGAGAGGATATGAATATCTTGCAAGCCATGGGAACTGTCAACTTCTGGTTGTTGTTTTTGGCCATGGTTTGCGGATTGGGATCTGGTATGGCCACCATAAACAACATGAGCCAATTGGGTCAGTCTCTTGGTTACACATCGCTAGAGATAACTTCTTTTGTTTCCCTTTGGAGTATATGGAATTTCCTTGGTCGTTTTGGAGCCGGGTTTCTGTCAGATTATTTTCTGCATACTAGAGGATGGGCGAGGCCAGTGTTGAGTGCAGCCACTCTTGCAGCCATGAGTGCTGGCCACATTATCATCGCCTCCGGTTTCGCGGGAAATCTTTACCTGGGCTCGATGTTGGTGGGAATTTGTTATGGCTCACAGTGGTCACTAATGCCAACAATCACTTCAGAAATATTTGGTGTAAGACACATGGGTACTATTTTTAACACCATTGCCATAGCCAGTCCTGTTGGGTCTTACATACTTTCTGTAAGAGTAATTGGATATATATACGATAAAGAAGCTTCTGGAAACACCTGTTTTGGAACTCACTGCTTCATGTTATCCTTTTTTATCATGGCTGCTGTCGCTTGTATCGGTGCCGTGATTGTTCTTGCATTGTTTTTTCGCACCAAGAGGTTCTATGAGTTGGTTGTGCTTAGAAAATTGCAGTATGCTTCAGGACAAGGAAATTAGTGTTGAATATGAGCGCTTTGTGTGTACAATTGTAAAAGGTTTTGCAAAGGCAGCGATTGATTAATTTTGTAGATGGTTCAAGGAGGAGAAGTTTCTTTTAAAATAGTGCAAAATTTATCTGATATTGGTCATTTTATTGCGTGATTGGCTTCCATGGATTTCCACTATATGTATGTGTATGCATATATGTCAAGCTCCCTTGTATCTGACCATGGAAAGCTTCATTTTAATGTCATTCAGGTGTATTGTGTATAAGCATTTTTTTTCACTCATCAAAGTAAGCTTCATTTTTTTTTTCTTCAAAACAGTATTAACGCATTGTAAAAGGAGAGGAAACATCTTTATTGTTACACCAATATATTAATTTTATTATTATTGAGTGTAGTGGTCTAACAATAATATAGTATCTTAGTGGGTTTATGGTGATAGATTCGAGTGTTGAATTTCCCCTTAAATGCCAAGTCTTAATTCTTGTCAACGTCTCAAATAAATAAATAAATAAATAAAATATTGTTGATATTTTATCATTAAAAAATATTCTCCCTCAGTTATGTACTATCCCCCATTTGGTTTCGAATATTTGAACAGAAAAATTTAAATATTGTAGTTCAAATTACCATTTGGATGTTAAGTTAAAGTTTTAATCTAACTAGTAAATAAAACTCAAATTTGTGTTTAGTAAATGTGAAAAGCAAAAAGACTTGACACATTTTTATTGTTAAAAAATAGTTTGAACGGTTAAAATTAAGGATGAGTTAAATTCTAAGTTGGATTAGTTCAAATGAGGAATATAATTCGGATTGCTTATCAAACATTAATTTAAATTGAGTTGAACATAGTTAAATTAGTGAAACAAACGGGGCCTAAGATGCATACCCTAAATCTAATCCGATCTCGAATCCATGTCTAACAGAGGCCTCGTTCGCTTCGTGGATTCGAGCTTTCAATTCGAGATGAGATGTGATATTTTTTTAGAACTTTTAATTGTATCAGAAAAAGTTAGATATAATATTTTTTAAAAATTTTTAATTGTAGAAATTTAAAACTGAAAATTCGAATCGGTAAAATAAACTAGGCAATAATCACCCCTATAACGCTTTTCAGAATCAAATATGTTTAATTATGCTAAATTGTGAGTTATTAGTGTGCCTAATTTGATTTTTACAATTAATCAAGAAATTTTAAATTATTTTTAATATTTATGATTTCACCTCAAAATTTTTTAAAAATACACTTACATTTTAATGCATTTTTATTTTTTTCATTTTTTTTCTTTTTATTTTATTTTATTTTATTTTTATTTTCTTCTTTTTCCTTTCCATCTTTTCCTTCTAGTGGCTCCCCCCCCCTCTCTCTCTCTCTCTCTCTCTCTCTCTCTCTCTCTCTCTCTTTCTTTTTCTTTTCTTTCTCTCCTTTGGTTTCACCCACGGCAGCCATCTCTCTCTCTCTTTCTCTCCCATTTTCTTCCACCGCCGGCCACTTCTTCTCCGGGCTCTCTCTCCCGCCGGCCACTTCTCTCTCCGGGCTCTCTCTCTCCGGCCATTTCTCTCTCTTTCTCTCTCACTTGGCTGTTTAGCCGAGACAAAAAAAAGAGAAATAGAGAGAAAACGAGCTTCAATCACTTTGAGGTAAAAATTTCTTAAAAACTCACACTTAAATTTAAATTATTGATTTAAGAATTTAAAATTTTAGTTAGATTTGAATAATTTTGAGTTAAAGTTTAAATTTGAACAATTGTTGTTAAAATTAAATTAAATTTAGGAATTTTTAGTTATTAGATTGTTGAATTGATTGGAAATTGGTTTTGATAATTTTTAGAGAATTTATTTTGAAATTGAACTTAAATTGCAGGTTTGATATTTTTTCTATTTATGTCGGCATGTTACCGAAATTTCTTTAAAAAGTTATTTTTAAGCTGAAATTAAATAAGAAACCAAATCCGTAAATTGGATTTCAATCTTTAAAGAACCCCCAAACTGATTATAAAATTGTTTGTGAAACTTGGATTTGAGTCAATGCACACTAATAGGAAATAATTAAACATGATTGAGCTTAAGTCGTTTTAAGAATTAGAAATACATCCTAAGATATTGCTTTTGTAATAAAGCTAGTGGAGAATGTCAAGTATTAAAGCTTTAAGGAAAGCGGAGGCTAGGAGAATAAAAGGCTAGTCCAGATTTGACATCCGAGAGGTAGGATATTCTTGTCCATATCCTTGTTAGCCTCACTTTAAATAGTTTTGGCCAATAAAAATGTTTTAGAACAAAACATGCTTCAAGAAAATGATTTTAAAGGAAATAGCATGAATAATGCTATTAAGTTTTCCGATGATTTTGAAAATGAGATTTTAAAGAGTCATTTTTTAAAATGAAATATTTTAAGGAATGATATAACGCATGGTGGCCTCAGAGATCGGGATACGGGAATCGTATCATTAGGGGCAGGACCCGAAACCCGTACGGATCCACTTCTTACTCAATGGTGTTATGGCTCTACATATTTTCATTATACATATATTTTTCCACTACTACGTGAGTATTTCCTTTTTCTAAAAAGGATGATTGGTTTCGGGTGTATGTCTTCGGACCGTGAGTACATTTATTTATAATGTTTTATAAAATTTTATCCTATTGGGCCTTCCGCTCACTTTTCTTATTTGAAATGTATTAAACCCCTCCAGGCGACGCGAGGAGTAGTGCAGAGTAGGTAGCTACTACCGATGAGGTGAACCCGTCTTCGAGAAGTGAAGAGTTATATTTTTCTTTCTTTTATCTCAAGGCATGTACTGAATTAAATATTGTAAACTCAAATATTGTTAGACTGTGATTGATATCAACATTTATTTTTATTTACTTTTTTTACAACTGAATTTCTCAATAATTAATGAGATTTATTTAAAAATACTTAGATGTTTTAAATTTAAAATTTAAATTTTTACACTGTTATTTATTAATAACTTTTTGTTTAAATTTTTAAACAAGCTTTCACCTCAAACTCTGTTTGGAGCATGACAACCCCGGAAGCCGACAGGTGTAGATTGCAAAACGCAACTTTTGCAAACAAAAGCAACCTCGTCAACTCACAAGTGTCCTTAACAAGTTAACAACAGCCAACAACAATTTTCAGTCTTACACCTCCACTAACAATAAAAAAAAATGATCACTCCAAAACCCAAAATCCCAAAAACCAAAAATGGCAGAAAATCTCTTCCACAGCAAATGGGCATCGACGGCGGCGAGCATATGGATCCAGTGCACGAGCGGCTCCCTCTACACCTTCTCCATCTACTCCGACTCTCTCAAGGCCTCCCAGCGCTACGACCAGTCCACTCTCGACGCCGTCTCCGTCTTCAAGGACGTCGGCGCCAACTGCGGCCTCCTTGCGGGCCTCCTCTACTCCTCCTCCGCCGCCGGTGGGCCCCGGGCGGTGCTCCTCGCCGGGGCGGTCCAGTGCTTCTTGGGCTATTTCCTCATGTGGGCCGCCGTCGCCGGCCTTCTTCCCCGGCCCCTCCCCGTGCCGGCCGTCTGCCTCTTCATGTTCGTGGCGGCCCACGCCCAGACCTTCTTCAACACTGCTAATGTCGTCACTGGTGTCAGGAACTTCCCTCGTTATAGTGGGACCATTGTTGGTATCATGAAGGTAAATAAGGTTTTGCTTAAAATTTTGCTTGTGTTTTTTTCTTGGGAAGTTCTCTGAATTTCTTTTCTGGGACATTTTTCTTCTATATTTTGACGTCAAAGATTGTGGCCTTTGGTCGTGGCTACTGTTGACGGGATTTTTCTGATAACTCGTGGGTATCTCTCAAAATACCCACTCAAAAACACTCGTGAGATCACACTCAAAATTTGATTAAAGATTAAGATTAAAAAATAATGTAAAAAAGACAATAATTTTATAGTGGTTCGGTAATAATTCTTTGCCTAATTCACTTATGCATGCACTAATATTTCAACCGGTTACAAGCTCTTTTTTCTTAATAATGAAATGGTGTCTAACCCTCTTATGGATTTCATTAGTCTTATTTATAGGCCTTTACATGTGAATGTGTATTCTCCATTCTCAAGGAGGAAGTCATCCTTTGTCCTCGGTAAGCGTGAGAGTAGGTGAGTTTTCATGATGACTGTCTCGGGGAATGCGGCTGATCCTTCCTATCTGTCGCCTGACCTTTTGACTTTTGCAGTAGCAGTCGAATCAGCACTCCCCTCTTTGAGTTGACAAGACAGCTGGTAGAGAGAGGCGACAGCGATACCCCGGCACTGTGGCCTCCGAACGCCGAGTCACTGCGCCCGGCGCCCCTTCCCGCGCATGGTCTCCCGGCGCAGATAGTGGCGTTCCCTCGGCGCCAGCGACCGATCCTCTGCGAGCATTCCTCGGCGTCTGTCATTCAAGAGGGTGGCCGATCTCTCGACCATGGTGTAACAATTACCCCCTAGGCCGGGACGTCGCAGCGTGACTTTCCGGGCTATATAGCGTCGAGGATGCTACGTGGAAACATGGCTTTCTGTGAGTAAGGGCCGTTGTTCGCAGGCACAGGGTATCATTGCGGTTGGTTTCTTGGACAGTGGAGCAGTCACGTCGATTGTATCAACTATCACATCCTCGTTTTCCTAGCGCCACGTGGAACTGGAGGGATGAATCGTCGCCGTCAAATTGAGTCCTTTCATGTTGCTCCCTCCCCGGCCGTTCGATCGCGCCTTCTCAGATCTACCGTCGGATGAGACCAAATCAGATCCTACAGTCGAGATCTGGAACCCTTTGGACTCCTCGGGGACCTCCGGACTTCTCCTCTGGCGGGTATATATATCCCCATGTCTTCATTTTCCTGACCACCGAGCTTTCAGGACATCGTTATTCTGTCAGATTTTCACCCGAGCTCTTGCCTCCGTGCATCCTTCCGCATTTGGACCGTCTTTTGCCCTCAGAATCCGGTAAGTCTTCATTCCCCTTGCTCTTCCCGTAGGTCCGGTTCCATTGTTTGCGGTAGTTGTGTCAAAACGCACTGTAAGGAGGGAAAGTGGTCTTGCCTGATGCCGTCGGCATTGTGCCGACGGCAGAGCCTACACTGCCTGACCCGTCTAAGTGCCGCTGAGGCTGCCGGACTTAGCTTTGTGCCTCTGGGCCTCGCGGCACATTCTGCTTGTCCTCCTGCCCTGCACTTTTGGCCTCTCGACCACTAGGAGCTAACTCACCCCCTTGTTTGCCTTTTTTTCAGAACATGTCGCCAAAGCAGACTAGAGGTCGAGAGGTCTCCGAATACAGGGTCAGAGAAGATCCTGAAGATGCCGCGACTTTGAGCACATCTTCGGGTGGAAGTGGGGATTCCTTGCTTCGTCAAGTCGAGGAGTACGCTGAGGCGTCAGCCTCAACCTCTCAGAAGGATGTACTCGTACTCCTCGACGATGAGGGTGTTGACCCCCATGCCGGTTCCCCTGGGGATCGAGGGTATGGGGCAGCGTCGACGAATACCCTTTCGGGGCTGGCGATGGACCTCGACCCGTCAAAGATTAGGCCCCACGCCGCTAGGAAGGCATTCACCGACACAGGGATCAACTCCCTGCACTTTTACCTTATCATTCTAACCCCCACCGACAGGGCTCACAACCCTCCCCCCGGTCACATGACTGTGTATACCCGAGCGCTCACCTTTGGGCTAACTCTTCCCTTCCATCCGTTCGTGAAGGCCCTCTGCAGCCTACACAGGATTTCTCCCGCACAGTTGTCTACCAATTGTTGGGTGACAATAAACTCCATGATAATACTATGGAGTAAATTTTTGAGCCTCGATCTAACCGTCGAGGAATTCTTGCACTGCTACTCCCTCCGGGTCTCCCCTAACCAAAGGGGATTCTTTTACATAGCCTCCCATGCTAAGTCCAAACCTCCTGTCCCCCCGTGGTCGTCGGGAAAACCACCAGCGCCCACGGGTGGAAGCCCCAATTTTTCTTCCTTGGGGGGAATTTTAACTCTCACCCCCTCGACGGCGAGCGACCGTTAGGGACTCAAACAGTATTCAGCAAATACTATAGGTTCCCTCCCTTTTCCCTTTCTTTTGAGATTTTTGTGCCGCTGTCAAGGTTTTTGTCACTTACTGTTTCCCATTCGTAGGTGACGAAGTCGATCGCCCAAGGCTCTCCTCAGCCGCTCTCGCTCGCGTCGAGAAGATATTGTCCCTTTCTCTCGATCGTCGACGGCCTTGTCGTAGATCTTCCTCGCCTGAGTCGACCTGTAGTTCCTCCTACGGATCTCCTCGACGGTAGGTTTGCTCTTCCCCTTCAATTTCTTTAGCAAAGACCGGGGGGTGTAGTCGAGGTTTCCCTAATTTGGTCTCTTCTTTTCTGCGTAGCCGTGCCATCCGAGATGAAGTACAACATCCTCGTCAAGCCAAGGAAGAGCAAAACCGGTATCGAGCGGGACGTCGAGCCAGCGCACAGTCGAGCCCGTTGTCTCGCCGGGCATCACTGTGACCCCTAGAAAGAGGGTATTCGTGATTGAACACCCCCCCCCCCCCCCCCCCCCGAAGAGGCAAAAGGTGACAGAGCCACGAGTCTCTCCTGTAGTCGTGGGGTCTCCCGGGCAAGGTCGACGCCTCGAGAAGAACAAAGGCGCCGAGGTTGCGGCAAACTTGGCGGTTCCGTCCCTTCCCCCTGAGCCTATCCTGCTTCCGGGGTCGAAGGTTGATGACCCCACGTTCCTCGTGCCCGACGTTGTCGACCTCGACTTGACTCATGCTCTGCGCCTCCCGCCTCGCTTCAGCCTTCCTCTGCAGGCCATATACACCTTTTTCCACGAGGACACCTGGGATGTTTAAGCCGGGGAGAGTATCCTGGACTGGTAGCGCCTGACCGTGAAGCGTCAACTCTCGGTAAGCCTCGACCTCGACTCTCATCACTACTTTTGCTTATATGCAGTAGGTCCCTTTTTTTTTGTTCGGGCTTCTCCATCTTGACTGCATTCTTTCTTCCCTTTGGAATTCAGGCCCTCGAGCTTGCTCTTCAGAATTACGTAGAGCTGGAGACCCTTCTCAAGGGGGAAAGGGCGTCGGCGGCCGCCGAGAAGGAGATCACCGCCTTTCGTGCAGTTCGAGACGAGCTCTCGACGGACTTGGAGGTCGAGAAGGCAAAGGTGTGGTCCCTCAAGGATAGTATCTCCAACGAGAAGTCCAGCAGCTTCGAGGAAGGCCTTAAGGAGGGGAGCTCTAAGGGGGTCGAGGCATACCTCTCATCTCCGGAGTTCCAGCAGCGGCAAAAAGAGACCACTTTCAAAGCCATCTCGAACTTCCTGGCCTCCGAGGACTTCCGCCGCCTGGTCGACGCCAGGCTTGACGCCTTCAAAGAGTCCCGGGAGCTCAAGGACTTAATCGAGGGCCACGTGCAGCAATTCAAATCGTCGACGGCCTTCGAGGAGCTCGTCAACCAAAGGCTCGAGGCCTACCAGGCCTCCGCCGAGTTCGAAGAGCTTCAACTGTCCCTGATGCAGTCCGCGGGGGAACAAATCCTCAACCGCTTCCGCCAGAAACGTCCAGACGTCGACCTATCCTTCTTGGACGAGTCCGATAGTGAGGGCGTGGAGGTGGTCGAGCCTGCACAGGGGGCCGATGGTGTCGATCAAGCGTATGGCAGTGCGGAGCAGGCAGCGGGCAGCGACGGCGAGTAAGGAGGAGACTTCACCCGGGGGCTTCTATTATTTTTGTAACCCCCTCCTCTCTTTTTTTTTGCAGGGCCATGAGGCCCAGACAATATATTTGGTAATTTGTAACGACCATAAGGTCGAGACAAGCTTTTATTATTTTTACTTTTCTTATATGCACTTATGCTTATTCCATTTATTGTGTTGTGTGGAGAATTTTTGCTAAGTGTAAGCTCGACTACCTCTTGTGAGTCGAAAAGGTGTTGGCCTCATTGTTGGGCCTTATACCCCCTCGCCGAAGCTGAGTTTTAGGAGTCGGCTTTGGCACACCCTTGTCAACGCTTCAACGCAAATAGTAGAATGTTAAAAGCGTAGAAAATCTGCTAGTTGATTAAGCACGGTTGGGCCAGAGCCCTGCCGCCTCTGCAGGTTCGTGGGGGGCTTATATTGTCCCCTTGCCGAGAACAAAGCCTTGGGCTTGTCTTTGGCACATCGTCGTCGACGTGTCGACGACTTTCGTCGACGTAAATTATTGATTATGCGTATAATGCACTCTAATAGTAAAAAGAATCGGTCGACGTGTCGACGCATAATTATTCATGTATAATATACAAGTTGGCTTTCCACCCTGCCAGGAAGGGGAAATGAAGAAACAAAAGTAGAAGGCATTAGGCTTGCTCTGCTAGGTCGATGCTTCTCGTGATCACTGGTAGTAGACCTTTAGCTGGTCCGCATTCTAGGTATGCTTGATGCTTCGACCGTCGAGCTCTGCCAGTCGATACGACCCATTAGCAATGACCTCCTTTATTATGTAGGGCCCTTCCCAGGTCGGCCCTAAGGCTCCGGAGTTTTTGGGTTTTGTGTTGGGGGTTACCACCCGCAAAACTAGGTCCCCGACCCCGAAGCGCTTTTGCCTGACCTTCTTATTATAGTACCTGGCAGTTCTTGCCTGGTAGGCGGCGAGCCGTAGCTGCGCGTCCGTGCGCCATTCTTCTAGGAGATCGAGCTCCAGG